TCCTTAGCATTAAAGGAGACCATGAGGAGCAGCTAAAGGTGTTTTGGGTCCTAGAAATCCATGCTGGAAGGAGGATTGTGTGTCACCAGTTCAATATAGGAACCAGACAGCGTGAGTGGGTAACCTTTCATTACTGCTGCCTGATGGGCCTCCCATCATTAGACATTCTGGCTAGCCACCCCCACCCTCCATGGGGAGGCATTTGAATAGTTCCATGACTAACATTCAAGGTGCAAACAAGGAAAAGTTTGACATTCTGAAGTTCTGTCTGTTGTGCTGCTGTTAAAACCACAGAAACATTGCCAGGGATAAGGGTGGCAACCTCAGCGTACGAGCAAACGTTGATACAAAAGACAACGCCCCAAACTGGCAAGAGCCACTGAAGGAAGAACTAAATGGCTCTCTTTTGGACATAAGACAAAGGTGTGTCATCTTGTACTCAGATCCTTCCCAGGTGCAGTTACAACAGGACACTGTGGGGTGACTAACATAAGAAAAGCCCTGCTGAGTCAGGATGTGTCCACTGAGTTCACTGTTTTGGTCACACAGCAGCCATCCAGCTGCCCCTAAGATCCCACCAGAAGTGCAACAACATCTTCCTGCCCAAGTTCTCCAGCGTATTGCCTCAGATATCTATTTGCTATAGACATATCCCAGATCCCTTTCAAGGAACATAAGGCTATATACATGATTCTCCTCATTTCCCATTTTAGTCACATAACTGCCTCAGGAGGGAGGTCAGGCCAAGAGAGAGTGACTCACCCAGTGAGCTTCCTTGCAGAATGGGGACCAGAACCTGGAACTCCCCACTTCTAGTTCAACACTATAACTTATGCACCACACTGATGTTCTGATACTCATATAGTCATCAAGATTAGAAGCCATGGATGGCCTGATCCTCCAGGAATTTGTCTAACCTCTTTCAAAGCCATTCACATTGGTGGCCATCACTGCATCTGCTCTTAGTAGATTCCATAGTTTAAATATACATCATGTGAAGAAGCAGTTTTCAACATCTGTAGTAAAATGCACACCAACCAGCTTCATGGGATGACTCTGGATTCTAGTATTATGAGAAACAAAACCCCATTCTCTATCCACTGTCTTCATCCCATGCATTATTTGCACATCTTGACCATGTCTTCCCTTACTTTATTCCCCCCACCCCCCAAGCTACACAGTCCCAGGCACTGTAACTTTTTCTCACAGGGGACCTGCTCCAGCCCCTTGGCTGCCTTTCCTACCACATATCCAGTGATACTTCTGAAAAGATCACACACATGCTGGCATAATTTTTACTTGCTTGCACATCACTGACAAGGATGAACTAAAGGTGGTGTCATAATTAGAGCGGTGAACTAGAACAGAGTAGGGAAAATCCAAGTTCAAATTCCCACTTGGCTGTGAAGCTCACCAGGTCTACTTGGATAGTCACTTTTTTCTCAGCCTAACCTAGTGTGAAAATAACATGGGGGAGAAGAAAACTGGTGTGCCTCCTTGCCGAAAGACAAGCCTGGGATAAAAATGAACACACACATACTTCACTCAGTAAAAAGCACTGCTAAGCAGTGATGACAAAATCTCCCTGCAGCTGTTCAAATATTACAGCTGAAGTCAGACAGCTACAGTCCTCTTTCAGGTGGGGTAATGAATAGTTTCTATTGGAGGTGTTCTATTGAAACACTTTTCAAACAGTTGCCACCCATCAAACAAACCTATGTACAGTTCAGAATCAAGATGGCTGAAGCAAACCACCTCCCAGGTAGTCTTCCCCTACTCTATTCCAGTGATTCGTACCAAGCCTTTCTAGAAATGAGGCACCTGAGAAGGGAGCTTTGTCAGCCTTGGTATACACACTCCAGCCTAGAAGCAGGAGTTAATGCAAAAATAAGCAACTCCCAAAGCTTGTCACCAAAGTGGCTTCCCCCTTAACTGAATACAGCAAACTTTTATTTCCTTTCAAGATAAGTTTCCTTTCCTTTCTTCTAGAAACATCCATCTCTCTGCCTGCCTATTTCTCAAATGAAATGCTGTGTGTGTAACACCCACCATGTCCCAGCCTACAAGCATTCCACCTCCCCACTTGGTTCATCTACAGAGTTTGGATGGGACTGGTTTAAAAGAAGGTATGGACCAGGTCAAAATGAGGAAGCTGCTACCTATACTTTTATTTGCAGTTATAAAAACATAAGAAGAGACCTACTGGGATCAGACCAGTCTTGCCACTAGATATGGAAAAGACCTCTGACAGAGTGAATTAGTTACTGTATGCTCCAAAAGATGGCTATCCCACACTAATCAGATCCTTATCAACACATGTCAAGTGTACTTACCAATAAATGTTGTGACTTTACAATTAGGCATGTCTATCAACCAAGACTGGAGGACCTAAGTTAATGGATTCAAGTTGCAGGAAGGAAGATTTCTGTTGAAAATCATGAAAAAAATCCTAATGGGCAAATTGCACACACCATATATTAAGTTAAAGCCATCAACAAAGGCAGTAAGAAATTATCCATTTTACATAATTATCATAGAAATATTACTTAAACAAAAGGGGTGGCAGAGAGAAAAAGACCTGCTTTAATCTTCCAAATGAAATAACATGTACTATATCCATTGACAAGATTATCCATTATGGAATCTGATCTCAACTTTTTATATATTATTTAGACAACAGATGTTTCATGAAACTCGTCAAAAGAAGTGGTGACCTGAATATAGACAGAGATAAATACAGTCCTGAATGTTTATTTGCTGCAATTCATCCTGCTTTTGAGACAATTAATACCTCCCAAAGTGGCTCCATTAAATCAAAAAGGGTGCCAGGCCCTGCTTTCCCATTTACTAACTAAAAAAGTTAAGATGCAAAAATAGAATGGAATTAGAAAGAAAAAGAGGAGGGAAAACAGTTTTTAAAGGCCAGAACTGATGCACTCTAAGAAGGCATTTAAAACCACTTTGAATTAAGCTCATCTTCTGTTACTGTGTTCCTCCTTGAACAGGAATTTGTGGTTTCTGTTCCTTTGGCAGATGAATGGTGCTAAAGAGTTCCTTTCCCTTCCTTTTGCAGTCTGATGACTGGGGACAACTGTCAGTAGGGCCAAGTGTTCTTTCTGGCAGGGAGAAGGAAGCAAGTTCACTGCAACTGGGCCTCCATTGTTGGAGATGAGCCAGATTGGCCCCCTTCTTGGCTCCACATTATTACTGGGAAGCAGCCCATGCAGCCAGAATGTAGTTTCTTCTGTTTTCCAGTCCCAGAGTAACAATATAGCACAATCCAATCTTCAGATTGGAAGGAAAAGCCTTCATTTAGAAAGAGAAAGCAAAACACGGGCAAACAAGACATACAAAAATTAAAAGATGTGATGAATAATAACTGCAACCTGCTCACCCCCAAAAGTGCTAAATCTTCCTTACACACAGAAAAAATAGTCTGCTAGAAAAAATATAGTGTGGTGTAGTGGTTAGAGCATTTGACTGAGCCTCAGGAGAGCCAGGTTCTAGTCCTCACTTGGCCATGAAGTTCACTGGATGACTCTTGATTATCAGTCTAAACTTACCTCAAATGGTTGCTGTGAGAATGAAATTGAAAAGATGGAGGATTATGTCAGTTTGAGTTAATCTGCAGGAAAACAGCAGACCATAAATACAGTAAGTGTATGGCTATATTTACATGTTGCTATGAAACTGTATAGTTTTTTATTTTAAAAACATCAGCACTGCTGCTTGTATACTCAAAGCTGTGATTATAGAGAAATCTTTCAATACTGCTTCAATTTTATAGGATGCAATAACATTCCAAGAAATAATGCTCAAAACCTCTAAAGAAGTACATGCCCAGAGGGATAGCCATGCTGGTTCATGGCTGCAAAAAGGAAAAAAATATTTCGGCACCTATACAAAATATAGTCATAAGGAATCAATTCATTCTAGCATAAACTTTCAGGTGCTTTAAGCTCTTCATTCTTTTCAAAGAAAAACAGGCAGTAAAAAAAGTAAGCAGTGAACACCCATTCCTCTTCCCCCCTCCCCCCCATCAGGCTCACTGGGAGGGTGAGAGACTGGGGACCCTGGCTGGGCAGCTTCCCGGCCTACCCATGCACTGGTGTCGTCGTCCTGAGGCAGAGAGGGAGAAAATTAAGAGTAGGAGACAGCACCAGTGCTCCTTCTCTCCGTGGGTGTGCAGTGGAAAGAACGCATCTTACTGCTGACATATTTGCACCGCGTATCATGGAGTTGGGCCCAATCCTTAACCTTGCCCCTGCACCTCACCCCCGAGGGAGAGAGCAAGTGAGAAGATGAAGTGCTGTTCCTTTCCTGACAATCAATCTGTGCCCTGCTGCTGAGAGAGCAAGCGAAGAAGCTGGCAGATTTCTGGGCTTCGTCTCTAGGAAGGCCCACTGGAGGCCCAGTTTCCTCTTCCGTGATTCCCAAAGAGAATGAACAAGGGAGACGAATCAAGAGCTACTGGCAGTGGCTCTCCGCACTTTTCCTCAACCTCTGCTGCTGGGCGGGGGACGACATGAGAGTAGCTGCTTACTCTTCTGTCTCCCGGCCTCGTCAGCAGGGACAGCTGCCGAACAGCCACTCGCCTCCAAACTCAAAGGGCTGCGCCCAATGTTAATCTTACGTAGTGAGCAGCCCCATTTAAATGAACTGGCCCTAACGGGTCTATTCTAAGTAGGGGCGAACAATGGTTAGCAACGCATTCCTTAAAGTAATAAAGTGTGTCTTGACCTTCGATGCAACCATTAAAGGAATGAAACCGACGGAAGAGAATATCAACCAGCAACACTCGTTGCAAAATTAGAGATCATTCGAGGAACCTGTGAGCACTATCGCGGAAGGCCTCTCAGTTAACTGTTATAGCACAGGCCTGGCATTCTCGCGGTGCAGGCGGGCTGGGCTGAGCCTCCAATCAAGGGCAACCCAGCTGGGTGGGGCCGCGCAACTATCTGGGCGGGCGAAGCTGCTCAGTACGCGCAACTATCTGGGCGGGCGAAGCTGCTGAGTTCTTAAAAGGAGAGCTAAGGGCCCTTTGCCGGCGTACTTGCAGCGGAGAAAGCGTGGCTGCTCTTGCAATGGCGGGGAAGTCGTTGGCCGGGCTGGCGGGGCAAATGGTGCGGCCGCTTGGGGCGGCGGAGCCTGTAGATCTGGGCTCGTTGGTGGGACGGGTGCTGCTGGTTTCTAACGTGGCTTCGCTCTGAGGCACGACTACGCGGGACTACACGCAGTTCCACGAGCTGCAGCGGCGCTTCGGGCCTGAGGGGTTCGCCGTGCTCGCTTTCCCGTGCAACCAGTTCGGCCACCAGGTACGCTGAACCGCGAGCGAGGCAGCGCGGCGGGCGGCAGGTCTCCCACCCCGAGCGATTCCGTTCCTCTCGCTGGTTGCGTTGCACGCGTGCGCAAAGGCGCCCTGCCTACCTCGAGCGAGACCGGTTTGTTGAGCGGGGCTCCGTGGGGGAGACTTGCTGAGCCCGGCTGTGTCGCGGGGAATGCACTTCAGACATATTTCGGGGTACTTTTTTTCCCTAGCTGTGATGCCGCCGATGGCACATATATGAACAGCATCGTTAGAAAAGATGTGGGGCAGGACTGAGTGCGAACTAAGCCTTGCTCGTAGCTTTGTTCCTGACTGTCGAAACTGGAATCTCGATTGGCGCCGCTGTCTCTGGCAGGGTTCCGGAGCCTTGAATGGACGTGCCCTTGGATACATGGGGCTGCCATCATGGGGGAAGGACACGCATCTTAGCGTGCACCTTCTGGATTGCCCTTCGGCTTTCTTACTGAGGGGGAGCTTGGTCTAAGCAAGTCTATTAGACCATTGCCTTATTTTCCACGTTTGTAGCTTCTCAGGACAGTGAAAAAAGGCGGCTTGAGCTACCTTCTTTCCGGCTAGCAGAGGGAACTCCGCAAGTTACACTGCATGTATGCGGCTAGTCCTTTGCCAACTTCCTCATTTTGTTTGCTCCTAAGCTTTATTATTATTATTATTATTATTATTATTATTATTATAACATTTCTATGCCGCCCCTTGCCGAAACCTCGGGGCGGCTTACAACATGATAAAATACATTGAAATACAATAGTACATAATAAATTACCATTAAATATAACAATACAAAAAATACATTGATTTACCCGAAAGGGAGCTTGCGAAACTCAGATCCTTCTTCCTTTGTTATAGTGGGTCTACAATAGGCAAGTCTCTGATCCTTTCAACCTAGTGTTCCCTGACTGTGTTAGATTACAGCACCTAAAATCCCCAGTAAGCATGGATAGTAACTTGAAACAGTTTTTTACTTTATGACATAATGGATATGGAAATAAAGAGTAGAATCAAACACTGGGGTTTGGTTTTGCACACTTTCGATTTGTAGGACCAAAAAAGGGACAGGCTGCTTAGGTCAGTTGCACAGCCAATCAGATATTGAAACATTTTAGTTTTAAAACTGCAATCCGGTGTGGAACATAGGGATTGAGAGAACAAACTTCAGGATGCTTTGAAGTCTACTAAGCTTTCTAATAGGTGGCACTGTAAATGACTCACTGGCTTTTCACTGGATAATGGCTGAAACCCAAAAGGTTTGAGAAGTCAGATTCTTGCCAAGTGAAGGTTAAATGAGAATAAAAATCTCAAATAGCCAGACTTTGTTTTTGCAAACCAGTGTTGTAGAGCTCTACTGGATGGAACTGATTTGTTGCCACCTGCCTGTGCAAATACCTGCTTGGCCAAAATGGATATGGGCTCCTTACTACTTCATTTTTCAGCCACACTTTAAAGGCAATGTACAGAGAGAATTTACTGCAGGGAAAGGATATACCAAAATGTTTAAAGCAGTCTCTGAGCATCTGTGAGCTGCAGATAGCTAAGCTGGAGTGCAGAACAGAGTAACTTCAGAGCCCCTTCACAGGTGTGTGTATGAGGAACCCTAACTGCTAAGGGTTTAAAATAGGGAAAAAAATCAGTTATTTTGTGATTTCCTGGTGTACCTCACTGAAGCCCTTCTGGTGCAGTCCAGCACATACGTCAGCACCACTTCCTCTAAAATGCTTTCTACCACTTGAGCAATATGTTGCAAAGGTCACCAGGGAGCTTGGCTTACTGGAAAGAGAAATTCTAACAAGTTTCTATAAGGAACAGAATATTGCAAGTCATGATAGTTGTGGCTAATGCAACAGAACAGATTACAGAACTGGTAGATTGTTTCCCCCATAACTGAGCCAGACTAGTTAACTATAACAAGTAGCATCTGAATAATATGCTAGTTCAGGATTTCTGCAAGACAACATTCTGGCTGTTTCAGCAAAGATGCTATTGATAGAAAGGATTTGTTAAGCAGAGGACAGATGCTACAATAAAGCAGAAGTTAGTGCCCTTTTGGTGGCAGCTGTGGTGATGAACATGATTACTTGAGCATGTACCTTCTCTCCCCTTTTTTTTACAGGAAAATACCACCAATGAGGAGATTCTGAATTCACTCAAGTATGTCCGCCCAGGCAAGGGGTATGAGCCCAACTTCAGTGTGTTTGAAAAGTGTGAGGTCAATGGAGCAAATGCACACCCTCTCTTCAAGTTCCTGAAAGAAGCATTGCCTTACCCACACGATGACCCTGTATCCCTGATGACCAATCCGCAGTTCATCATCTGGTCTCCTGTGTGTCGTTCTGATATCGCATGGAACTTTGAAAAGTTCCTCATTGGTCGTGATGGAGTGCCTTTCAAGCGTTACAGCAGGCGGTTTGAAACCATCAAGATGCAGGATGATATTGAGATGCTGCTTAAGCAGGCCCCCTAGAATCTTGCTGAAACTTCTCTCTACTTACCTGCTTTGAACTAGGCTTCTTTCACAGATTCTGCCCTAGGTTAAGAGCTAGTAAATTGCATATACATTCAGATTTAAACTGGGGTAACCTGATTGCAGAGCAAAGTTGTTCATGTACTACAGCAAGAAAGCTTCACTGGAGTATAGGGAGTCACTGATACTGATTAAGCTGTAGCTCTTTCAGGTGTATACCTGCTATAAAAACATTATACCTAAAGCAGGTAGTAATCAGTCTTCATGTACATTGCATAAATATATGCCAGTAGGTTGGAGCTCCTTAGAGTTCCTAGTAATGTTTACATGCTGTACAGAAGATGGGAGTATATTGCAGACATTCCAGTTCAAAGGATATATATAATGTGGGCATATAATGTGCATTGCTAAAAATCATACTGTGTGAAGCTCTGTCTGCCTTTGCCTCTATTTCCTTTTTCTGTGGTTCATCAACTGTTTACTCTGATAGTAAATTTCTATTCTCCATCAAAATTTTATTAATGATGGTGCTTCTTCTAAACATTTGAAGGGCACTTGATGTACTTGTAAAATTTTGTGTGAAGTTGTAGTCAATTACTGCAGGGAAAACAGCTTGATCAGAGCTTTGATGCAAAAACTACTTGACATTAATAAAGTGTTTCAAATAAAAATGTGTGTTTTTTAAGCTGGGTACTCAATTTGAATTAAAATTTCTTCCAGCTCCCAGAGAGTATCATGGAACTTCTATAGACCTTAAAGCAGACACTCCACAAAACTGGCAGTCAAAGCAAGTACAGTTCCATTCTTCCATTCACAGCTGGCGAAATAGTATGTTACGTTTGTTCCCAGATCTTAGATCAGAATTTCATGTATTTGTAGACTGCGCTAGGAAACAGGTCAGTTACATACATACACATAGAACCAATGTGCCTTCAAACCTAATCTACAAGATTCTCAAACTGGTGGCCATTCTAATATGACTGTTTCTGGAGAACCAGGATTGTGCAATAGCCCTGTTCAGATGTGGACATTCAGGAGCCCTTATGGAAGCAGTTGCTTAACTTAACCCATGGCAAGACAGAGAACAAAAGCTATGTAATCTGACACTTGTGACCACGGCCCAAGGCTTTGTTCTAATTTGGCCCAATTTGCTAGCTATTCTAGCAGTGATCCAATTCTTAAATTAAGCAATACCTTGTATCTAAAGTAGCTGATGCTATTCTAGACAGTCAGGGATAACAGCAACAAAAGCAGAAATATAAATCTGTATGCCTCTATCTTTAAGATGGGGCTTTCCGATCTCAATACATTTATTTAGTGCTAGCTGGTTTAGAACTCACTGGTAAGAGCATTGACTGATGCATATTATTCTATGGTACAATAAATTCACATGGTAGCTTATAAAACAAAACTGCGTATAAAATTATAGCCTACAGCATAAAACTAGTAGTATATTAATATAATAGCTCTAAAAATGCAGCCGACCACAAAACTATTTAAAGCATCATAAAGGTCTTGCCACATACCTTAACTACAAGGGCAACAGATTCCTGTGTTTAAAATCCAACTCTTAGCCCACACATGAGCTTCCCCAGCAAGGTGGCACAAGCCAAAGAGATGCTTTGGCTTTAATGTGGGTTCCACACCGAGTGGTAAGACAGGACTACTAGCAACAAGCAGCAGGCCAAGTGAGCCCTGAGAGGATCTTGCAGTCATGAGGCTGTCTGTCCACACTGAGTCCCACAATCAAATACACAGGGCAATTGTTTTACTTTTTCAAATTCTATTACATCTATATTCTGCCTTACCATCTTGGAAGGAACCCAAGGTAGCATTCAAGGTTCTCATTTATCTTTACAACTCCTCTGGGAGCTGGGCTGGAGTAGGCTGAGAGACACTGACTGAGCCAAATTCATCTAGCAAGCTTCAAGGCTAAATGGAGAGCAGAATTCGGATCTACATTCAAGACCAGTATTAACCACTATATCACACAGTCTTCACATGGAGAATGCAAAAGGAGCAGTGAGTTTGGGTGGGCTCAGGATGGGGTTGACCAAAGTGCTTTGGTTTGGGGATGAATGAGAGCTCCCTTTGAATTTCTGGACTGAGCTAAAGTTAGCTGCCTAAGCTGTGGTGGCCCTCCATGGATCTCCTCCTCAGATCAGTTTCCTTGCCATTATTAACAGTGAGGAATCTATATCTTGGCAGTGTTGGAATCACTGAGGGATGATCAATCCTCCACCCACCCATCTACTCTAGTGACCCTAGTCACAATCACCGTTTCACCACCACCATTTGCTGCTTGCAGCTACTACAGGATTCTTTTGCTCCGAGCTGCCATAAAACCCATTTTCCTGTAGCCCTTTCCAGAACAAAAGACTTCTTGGATAAGCTTTCAAAACTGACGATGCGAGTGATCTAAGAAGGGGATGTGTAAGGGATTGACATCCCCTTCACAGCAAGGTCATTCTCCTCACTCTCTAGTTCCCATCAGGGTGCAGATTTTCTGAAATTTATCTGCATCTAAGGCACAGGGCACTGGATCATGCCCTTAAGGCAATCCTTAACACCCTAGATGACCATAGGATAGGGTGGAGTCCCAGTTCAGACATTGAAAATGCATTATGAGCTCCAACCTGGGACTCCAGCTACAGTTCTTTCTGCATAGGCTGTGCTGTTTGCCACTCTGACATCACAAGTGTGACCTTGTGGGAAGGAAGAATGACAGGGAAAGGCAGACTGGAAGAGATTTTGCTCTATATATCAAAATGGGTATAGAGTCCGGCAAACTTGAAAACCTTCCTCCACAGAAGCACTGGCTTCAAAACAGTTTAGTACTAGGAATATGCCATCCCCCAGCTTAGAATGCTTATGCTGATCTTGAGGTGGAGAGCAAAATCAGAAGCTTCAAAACAAAAGTTGCAGAAATAGGTGACTTGAGTTATCACATAAATACAAATTCCATTTCTGGCAAAGAGGTTAAATTTCTTGATGTCCTAAATTACATGAAGTCCTAGAACAGCTGGTTACAGAACTGACTCAAGGGGAGGCAATCCTGCATTTAATTCTAGATAGGGTTGTCCAGCCCTAGTACAAGATGTAAATATGCCTGAAACAATTGGAAACATTGACCAAAGTGCTGTAAGATTCAATATTGATTCATGTGAATGATTGCCAAAGAGCTGCATTTGACCTCAGAAAATGCAGGAACTGCAACAAAGGAAATTAAAAGAAACAAGGAAATTTACTTCTTGCAAAATGCTTGGACATTACTCAAAGGCACAATAATAGAATCACAGCTAGAATGTATACCACAGGTAATTAAAAAGAAGCAAGAAGTCCAAGAGGTTACCAGTTATGGATAGCAAGCAAGGTCAAGGAAGCTGTTAGAAAAAAGGCTTCCTTCAGAAAATGGAAGTCTTGCCCATATGAGGAAGCAAAGGGGAGCACAGGCTTGCATAAAGGAGGTTTAAGAGGACAATAAGAACACATCACTTACATCAAGCTTAAGAATAATTCTTGAAATATATCAGAAGGAAGAAATGAGCTAGGGAGGCAGTTGGACCATTGGATGATAATGCAGTTAAAGGAGTATTAAAGGAGAAGCAGGAGACTGCTTGTGAATTCTTTTCATCTCTCTTTACTGTAGAGGATACAGGACAGATAGTTGCACTTTTGTTATCAGGCAGAGTCTTAGAGAAATGTAGAGAGATAGTGGTGAGGAGGAAGCTCTCAACCTTACTAACAAACTGGAAGTTCATAAATCACCAGGCCTCAGACAGTATTCATCGTAGAGTTCTTAAAAACTCAAGTATGAAATTGCTAGCGTTCTTATGGGAATATTTAGCATGTCCCTAAGAACAGCCTCTGTACTGGAGAATGGCCACTATAACACCAATTTTTACAAAGGCATCCAGGGTGATCTAGGAAATTACAATCTGGTTAGTTTAACATTTGCTCAGGGTAAACTGGTTGGAAGTATTAATAAAGATTACGATGGAGTTATAGAAAGCAAACACTGCTGAAAAAGAATCACCACGGCTTCCGCAAAGGTAAGTCCTGTCTCACTAACCTACTAGAGTTCTTTGAGAGTGTCAATAAACATGTGGACAGGGTGATCCAGAAGACACTGTTCACTTGGGCTTACAAAAGGCTTTTGACAACATCTGTCAGCAAAGACTCCAGAGCAAACATGGCAGCTGTAGAAGAAGAGGGGAGGTCCTCTTATGGATCAATAACTGGTTAAAGAACAGAAGGTGGAGAGTAGAAGTAAGTGAAAAATTTTTCCAAGAGAGGGTTGTGAACAGGGAGGTCTCGCAGTGATCTGTATTAATACCAGTGCTTTTCAACTTAATCATAGGTGACCTGAAATTAGCAATGAACAATGAAGTGGCCAAGCTTGCTCATGACAGCAAACTATTTAGTGTGAGTAAAACCAAAGTGGATCATGAGTAGTTCCAAATGGATATCTCTGGATGGACAGAATGAGTATCCAAATGGTAAAAATGTTTAAGTGTAAGCAAATGTGAAGGATTGCATGTTGGAGCAAAAATCCCAATTCAGCAGTAACTTCAGGTAGTGGTGGCCTGCTTGATGAAAAATTGACCCAGTGCACAGCTATTGTGAAAAGGGCATACTGCAGGTTAGGTATGACTAGGAAAGAAACTGAAAACTGAAAATAAAACCGCCAATATCATACTGCTCTTATAATCTGGGATGCAACTGTGTACCAGTCTGATCACATGCCCAAGTATGGATATTGCAGAGTTGAAAACAGTGCAGAAAAAGGCAAGAAAACTTTCAAGGAGATGGGAGATTCAGGACAGATAAAAGGATTCTTACCACACAGTGCATAGTTAAACTATGGACTTCATTTGCATGAGATGTAGTGATGGACATCAATTTAGACAGCTTTAATGAAAAGGGAATTGAATGGATTTACGAGAAGACTATCAATGGCTCTATGCTGTCTCCACGGTCAGAAGCAATATGTCTATATGCTGCAGGTGCTGGGGGCATGGGCAGAAAGGTTGTTGCTGCACTCTCATCCTGCTTGTGGGAGCCTGTGGGCAGCTGCTCGGCCACTGGAAGAACAGGATGCTGGACTAAATGGACCCTTGGTCTGATCCAGCATGGCTGTGCTTCTGATCTTGTGAGAGAGGGTCTGTCAGGTTATGAAGGAGCCAGCACTACCGAGCCCCTCCTCCTCATGTACATAGATGGCTAAAATCATGCAGCAAATTCTTAAAGTTACTATAAAGACTGCAGTCTGAGTTGGCCTCATTTTATGGTCGCTATTGAAGGTTTGTATGATTGATCTTTGCAGTTTTCTTGTAATAAAAGATACACATGCGCCAATCCTGAACCCTGATGATACATTATACTGGCAGAGAGGGGGCTGCTTACCATTCATAAGGAAATAAAGAAAGAACTAAGCATATCTAAACTGTCATAAAACTGAAGTGCTAACCACACTGATTTATGAGGCAAGTCCCACTGAAATCAACAGGTTGTTTGAACAAGCATTCTCAGAACCGAGTTGCTGTGAAATTACAAAGGTGATAAAGGAACAAGATTAATGGAGGATTAGACAGAATTGAACAGAAAAGGTTTCAAGCTGCTCATGGTCCACAGGCTTACAAAAATATTTTAATTCAGGAGTGAGGCTGGAAATTGCAGCCTGCCGAGAATGCAAGCAAGGTTTTTCACTGGAGCGCTGCAAGAAGAGGCAACAGAATCTGGCCTTTATGGAATAACTCAGCAAACAAATTCAAACTCAACCAAATTCAAACTCAACCAAAGCAACTTACTACAGCGGATTTTTATAACACTTGGCAAAAATTCACAAGCTTCACCATTTATCACAGAGAGGACTTTCACCCACCATAAACTACAGGGAAAATGTGCACATAATATTAATTACAGGCACATCCTGTGCTGACGGGGTAAAGCCTTAATATACACATGACACAAACTGCTGTGATTAAGCTGCATGAATAAAACCTTGTAGAGTAGTCCTGTGTATTGCTTAGCTGTAAATGTAATCTCTTTTAGAAAATAGAATTTTACTTGTCTACAGATTTTGTTTTGCAGTTCATGCCAACTGTTCACTGTTATTTTTCTGTTCTTAGACAAACTATGCAGGTGATGTATTCAAACACTCTGCAGGCATCAGGAGGAAATAGTACTATGACAGGCCAATACTAAAAAGCTAAAACATGTCAGCTGCAGTTCATTAACCATCACAAAACAACTTATTCTTAAACTGATGTATGTACCAAAGGTTTTTAAAAATGTATTTATTTATTAAAAACAAAACTCCTAGTTTATACAAATAAAACAATACAAATAATAAAATTAATAATGATGATCATTATTATCAGGACTCTGGGAGCAGGGTTTTAGAGGTACTGCAGGGACTGACAGGACTCCTACAGAGAGGTGCCAGGTATCAGGGAGGATGGGAGGAAGGAGGAGGCTGGGAACTCCAAGGAAAGGAAGCGGTGGGAAGGAGTTGAGGTGCATGTACACCAATGCTAGGAGCATGGGTAATAAGCAGGAAGAGCTTGAAGCTCTCCTGGGAATAGGAGGGTATGATCTGGTGGGAATCACAGAAACTTGGTGGGATGAAAGGCAAGTCTGGAATGTGAACATAGAAGGGGATCACCTTTTTAGAAAGGACAGGAAGGGAAAGAGAGGTGGGGGAGTGGCTTTATACATCAGGGAAGGGATAGGATGCAGTGATACAGAATGCAGCACAGATGGGGATTTGGTAGAGGCAGTCTGGGTGAAACTTAGGGGTTTTGACAAGGAAAGAGATCTGACAGTGGGGGTATGTTACCGCCCTCCAGGTCAACTTGAGACCCTGGATGATGTCCTGACAGGCCAGGTTCTAAGGATATCTCGGGGGAGAGACACAGTAATTATGGGAGATTTCAGTCTCCCGGATATTACTTGGGAGACTCACTTGGTGGTGACAGCCAGGTCATGTCGCTTCCTAGAAGCTATAGAGGGAGCGTTTTTCACACAGAGGGTCTGAGAGGCGACAGGGGGGGAAACATCCTTGACTTGGTCTTGACTAATAGGGAGGAGCTGATAGATGAAGTACAGATTAGGGGAGCTCTGGATGTGAGTGATCATTGTTTGCTTTGAGATTCCTTATGATCCAATTTTCACAGCCATACATTGCAACTGGGAAAACCATAGCCCTGACTATACGCACTTTTGTTGGCAGGGTGATGTCTCTGCTTTTTAGTATGCTGTCTAGATTTGCCATAGCTTTCCTCCCCAGGAGCGTCTTTTAATTTCTTGGCTGCAGTCCCCATCTGCGGTGATCTTGGAGCCCAGGAAAATAAAATCTGTCACTACCTCCATTTCTTCCCCATCTATTTGCCAGGAAGTGAGGGGACCGGATGCCATGATCTTAGTTTTCTTAAAGTTGAGTTTCAAGCCAACTTTTGCGCTCTCCTCCTTCACCTGCATCAAGAGGCTCTTTAGTTCCTCTTCACTTTCTGCCATTACAGTGGTATTATCTGCATATCTGAGGTTGTTGATATTTCTCCCAGCAATCTTAATTCCAACTGGTGATTCATCTAGCCCTGCCTTTTTCTGCATATAAGTTAAATAGGCAGGGTGACAGTATACAGCCTTGCTGAACTTCTTTCTCAATTTTGAACCAATCAATGGTTCTGTGTCCAGTTCTCACTGTTTCTTCTTGACCCGCATATAGGTTTCGCAAGAGACAGACAAGATGGTTTGGTACTCCCATCTCTTTAAGAACTTGCCACAATTTGCTGTGATCCACACAGTCAAAGGCTTTAGCATAGTCAATGACCACCTTTCATAGGATGCCTGTAATTGTCCAAAGACTCAGAGGGTTGCAAGCAGCCACATAGGGCTGTGCTGTCCATGTCTAAAATGCCAGCCTACTTCAAACTAAGCTGTCAAAGCTTCCCATGAAAAAAGGATACCTTTGCATTTTCTCAGTCACCTGGGGGCTCAGGGCAAAGTGCAAAATAGGTTCCCTGGAAGACATTGAAAAAGAGAAAAGTATTGACATTCCTGCTGCGAAGAGGGTTTAAATCTCTCCTAACATCTTTTTGCTGCTAAAGATACCTCATGCCTTTGATTTTTCTTGTCAGCTCATAATTTTCACAGATGTAAAAAAAGTCCCTCAAAGGGGGAAAATATATTTGGTGCCTCCTCTGAGCAATGTCCAGGATTGGCAATCTGATAGACATTGCCACCTCTGAGGCTTCAAATACCCACACTGGCCCACTGCGAGAGTTCACGGATGAGGAACTGCAACTAAAGAAATAAAAAAAAGTAACATTGAGAATGCGCACAAAACAATTAATCACACAACAGTTTGGCAACTACAAGCAACTCATCGAATGTGTTGCTGGGGCACTCTGAAGATACTGCACATAGCTGCCAAAACAGGGATTGCAAAAGTTGGCTTGCTAGCCAACACTTGCAATCTCACCCCCACCCCCAAAAGTACAAGGGAAAAAAGCTGAGTTGAGGCCACGATGGCGCTTGGTACCAGTGGTAAGATGGGAGGAAGCCGGTGCCCACAATTGCAACTTGGGCACCATGGAGGTGGGTGGCACTGTCATGCTCCCAGCAGCCCCATGACTGTTTGCTACTCTTGTCATGGAGCTTACTAAATAATTCCCCCTACCCACCATGGGGTAGGGTTGTCCAAACTTCAATCCATCATGGGTAGAATGACCCCTACAACAATCCTTGGGTTGTCAAAATGATTTGTTGCCCATGAACTCTGGGAAAGTTAGTCTGGGTTTGCATGGCACAAGCACCCATCAGGAATAGCAAAGCACACTGGGCTATTGTGTCATATGATTCCAATATCTGCTGCTTTGAGATAGCCATCTTATTCCACCAATGTGGTGTAGTGGTTAGAGTTTTGGACTGCTGACAAGTTCTCACTCGGCCATGAAATTCATGGTGTCACTTTATGCCACTCACTGATTCTTAATCTAGCCTACCACACATGTGTGTTGTGAAGAAGAGAAGGAAGAGGCTCATATACACAGCCTTGGGCTTCTTGGAGGAATGAAAAGGCAGAATGTAAATGAGACAAATAAATATGAAGAAACAAACATATCTATTGAATGAATCAAGGATCCTTTTACAGCTAGAAACTGCTATCCAATTTAAGCAAGAGGGTTGCTGCTCATATAGTCTAACATAAGTCTATTTAATTTCAACTGTTGTTATGACATTTATATCCCTATTTCTACAATAAACTGCACTTAAAGGACTTCACAACAGACGCTAACTTATTAAGACTTTACTGAAAAGAAAGCGTTTGATACATCAATAAAAATCAAATACAAAAAACAATTCTGTGAAATAAACTCAGTATTATAATTCAACCAAAGTTCAGGCAACGAGAAGCGCACACGACAGTCCTCCAAAAACAGTAGTACAGTGATACGAATGCATTCTAGGATTAACGTTGCAAACTGCTCAGAGAACAACCAAATCTCAATCTGCGGGACTAAATAGCCGGGCGGGCAGGCGGGCGGCGCGACAGGACTTGAAAGAAACTTCGTCCTTTCTAGGGAGCGTCACCCCGCCGCTTGACGTTCCATCTGCGCGTGCGCGGAGACGACGTCGCGCATGCGCAATGCCTTCTTCTCTGGGCGAGGAAGGATACCCGCAGTTGGGGACGGCCGGCCGGTAGCGCGCATTCCTGTCATGGCGGCCGCCGAAGTCGGGGTAGAGGGCGGTGGAGCCGCAGCCAGCCTGAGACCGGATGCCGGGACGCAGCGGGCTGAGCTCATGCCGCTGCTAGGGGCGACTCTGCGACCGGGGGAGTCCTGGTGAGGAGCGAGCAGCGCCGGCGGCGGTTGCGAGGCGGACGGCGCGGGGGAGGCCGTGGAGGCTTGTTGCGGCTCTGGGTGTCCCGGCCAGGACGCGCGTGCCCCCTCCGCGCTCGGCTGCTGATTTTCAGCCGCGGCCTCGTACGAGGTCAGCGGATCGGGGCGCGCGGGCTGGCTGGGGTGGCCTGCGCCGGATTCTAAGGACATCACGGTGCCGGCCGGTACTGCTGCTGAGTCACTATCTTGCCCCGTCCGCACATGCAGTTTTCTTAATCTCTGCTTGGTCTGTATTTTGAAATGTCTTTTGTTTTGCTGCAGGTATCTGATTGACAGTCGGTGGTTCAAGCAGTGGAAGAAATATGTTGCTTTTGACAGCTGGGACCTCTACAATGTTGGCGAGCCCAATCTCTTCCCCGGACCGATTGATAACTCCGGGCTTTTTGCAGGTAAAAAAATACAGGAAGAAGGGATTAGATAGGTTGTGTCTTAAAATCTGGAATCATACTTTTGGAAAGGGGTGGGAGGAGGGCAAATGTCATGTATCATTTCTGGACTATGTTCTGAGACTGCTTGCTCTCCCATTCCAGTTTCTGCCAATGTGTTTTCCTAATTCTTAAGCAAGAATTTTATTTTCCTTGTAATAGTTGTTTGCAATGAAAGGTTATGATTAGTCTCTAGTATGATTTTCACTTAAGAAACCACTGTAATCTCAACTAGCATTGAAACAGAGCTGAAAGGTTCCACCCTTGAATTAATTTCTCAACTGTGGCTTCTCTTCCTGTAGTTTTTCTCACTTCCCATTCATTCACTTTGCTGGAGTTATGCCTAGGGCTGAAAAATGGTTTTCCTTTTTTGTTAATAGAAGCTAAAAGAGAACCAACCAGTACATCTGCTTTTGTCATTTGATTAGTTGGTCACAAAACATTATTAGCTTGCTGTATGGTGAGTCATAGAACTTAAAAATCATTACACTTATTTGTTGAACAATGTTCCTTATATGTTGGAGTAAATTTTTCCTTCGTTCTTCTGATCTTTAGTTCCATGTCAGTTTCTTTAGTTCAGTACATAGGTAGGCTTGTAACACAGGCTGACCTTGGTAAGGTGATTACTTAATGCTGAAAGACCTCTTCATTTGTTCTTCTCTTGACATGAGACAGTGGGCCTTGGGATTTCTTGTTCCTGTGTTGTACTACTCATCTCACTACAGAGAGCATTCTTATGGCAGCATGGAGAGAACTCACACAGTCTTGAACCCTGTTTTCAGTCCGGTAGAAATAATACCAAATAACCCCTTAACAGGTTAAAGTAATACCTGCTGTAGAAAGGTGCAGCTATTTTGGATATACCAGCAAAATATTGTTATGTGCCATCAAGTCATTTCTGACTTATGGCAACCGTATAAGTCAGAAAGCCCTCCAAAATGACCTCTCCGTGACATCCCTTCTTAACTCTTCTAAATTCAAGGTTTCAGCTTCTGTTAGGGAGTCAAGCGATATCTAAAGTTGGTATACCATCATGAGGTATTTTAGTAAGTTAGAATCTGTTCTGTAAATGCATTCAATAAACCATACTTCACAGACCATAATACTGTACATAAAGCATCTTCCAATTTTCCATTGTAATTTCAATAAGTTTTAAATACTATCTAGTTTGCTGATTTGACCAGCATTCAAAATATTTATTTCTTCTGGAGGGAGGTGCCTGAAATTAGTTGTCAGAGTAAAATCTCCCTTTAATAACATGACTCACTTTAATAAAGTCTTGCTTTAATATGACTGCTTGGACTGCCTGTGGAGATATTCAAAAGCATTTGAGAGTATTTCCCATTTTGAAGGATAGCGCTGTATTTATGGATTTGTGATGAGTTTTATTTGAGATTTCACAAAGAGTTACCTATCTTCCTGTATGCCACTATGTTTCCTTCCATTTTTAGATTCAGAAACTCAGACCTTGAAAGAACACCTCATTGATGAATTGGATTATGTGTTAGTTCCTACTGAAGCCTGGAATAAATTAGTAAATTGGTATGGCTGTATAGAGGGGCAGCAGCCAATTGTGAGAAAAGTAAGTGTTAATCATCTTTGTATGATATATAGTACAACCTATATATGTTCAGAAATTGAGCCTGTTGGGACCTACTTAATTACTTAATTATGTATAAGATTACAGTCTTAGTTTGGTTTGTTGAGGCCACTCCTTATACCCACACAGGAACCCTATGCAGTTTTTCTTGTGTTACTCAAAGGACATGCACTATATAAATAATTTTATAGACGAATAATGGTATAGAAGAATGGGTACAATGTTTCAGTTGCAACAGAAAACTGAAAATGAGGGAAATGTCTTCTTTGTATTTTGATGGGCAATGATCCCTTGAAGTTTCATAAGAATGCACTGAGTATTCCTTCATTTAACTAATGGTGAACAGAATGGAAAGTTTCTCCTTAGTTGCTGTGTACTCTGTTGATTAAGCTTATGGCAAGAACCACTTTACATTTGTTTTTACTTCCAAACACTTGTATATACACTGATTTCATATAACATAGTATACAAATATGCTATGCATATGATAGTGTACACCCTTTTCCTACAATGCTATAGAAAAAAATATGATCCTAAGAAAGTACTATGCTGTGCATGTGGGGTAGAGGGAGGGAAGTTGAGTGGAGGAAATGAGAATTGATGAACAGTGTGTTTTAGCTTTCACAAGCATATGCTACTGCTCTCTGTTGGAAAAAAATAGCTGATCATATACAAGGAACTGCTAAACTTTTACTTTGAAACTAAAAGATGTAGGAGCGTGTGTATATTTCTTAAGTGTCATTACATATTAAGCTTTCAGTGGGAAGAATGTCTTTAAAAAACTGGTAGTTTTTTCCATACAATCTTAAATTCTGAAATCTACTGAACTAAAAATTTTTAAAGGGGTTGAATGGTCAAACTATTGAACAGTCAAGTATCTATAATTTCAAAAGCATTTCCATTTCTATTATTAAAAAGGTTACATCTCAGTACAATAGGCTTCTTTCAATCCTGCTATAATTGCCCCAATCCTTGACACCAGTGTTCTAAATTAGAGGGAACTGGGAGGGCTGACACCTTGTAACTTGGAGCATTGGCTTCCTAGTTAGAAAGAGGATTCATTAATTTATTCATTAATTAAGAATGGCAAAGTCCACATTGAGCCATGGGTGACCACAGGACATTGACAAGGTTGGATAAGTGCATTTTAATATAATACATGCATTAAAATATTGATCTGATCTGAGTGAGAAGAAAAATTAATTGCATCTTACATAGCCAGCTTTCCTGTTTTTTAGAACAGGATAGAAAAAAGACTGCTGTCAAACTCAGTAGATCTTATTTCCATAAGATCAGGCTATAATTGGATTACATAGAGCCATATAGCCAGAACTAGAGATGTCTTAACGTATTTCAAAACTTTCCAAACAATCCTGTGATCTGCCGAATTAAGAAGTGAATATTTTGATTCAGGAACTCTTCCATTTATGCTGTGGAAACTTTAGCAAAATGTTTCTTTTCTGAATAATTTGTTATACCTGTTTTACAAGAAACCTTCTTTTCATAGGTTGTAGAATATGGCCTGTTTGTGAAGCACTGTAAAGTAGAGGTTTATCTGTTGGAGCTGAAGTTGTGTCAGAACAGTGATCCTGTTAAACTTGTGAGCTCTTATTTCAGCAAAGCAGACACTGTTGGTGAGTAGTTGTTTACTAATACCGTAAGACATCTTAAAATACATCCGCTGCTGGAGTCCGGTAATCATTTGTTAGAGAATTTAATGGTGCAGGTACATTTTACAGCTTTGGAAAACATCTAGATTTCTCTCCATACTCCAATGAAAGCAAACTCTGAAAATGTTTCTTTCTGTGAAATGCTGTTTTTTGATATCCATAGGTAATTGCTATTTCATTCCAGTTACTTACGCTTAGAACCAGCACTTACTCTGTTTCATATGCTGCTTTTTGTATGAGCACTCCTGTGTGCAGAATCTTTCAGTGGTATGTTTCTTTTGGCTCCAAATTACCCTGGTTGCATTTTGAAGAGAAGACATGTTTAGGTTAAAGAGTGACTATCTAAGTGCTGCAGCTGTAATTGGGTTTACTTAGTAGAGGGAGGATGAAAGGAGGAAATACAGGCAGGCATCAGATGTGGGGAAGGGAGCAAGAGAGGAAGGACAAGTGACTTTTTATAAGTGAAATGACAACCGCCACTGCTCTTTGTGCTGACCAGGAGCCACTTAACCTATTGGGAAGAGAATGGACCTACACCTTTTCCTGTATTACCCCTATAAGAGCCAGCTCCAAACAGCCTTCAGTGGATTAACTGCTCAAGGGTGGAAGAGTCTGAGGTTTCTGGAGGAAAAGGACCAGGGAGAAACACCTGTAAAGGATGGCTGTTTCTCCTCCTGCATTTGACAAAGCCAAAATGGGGTGGGGTGGGGATTATTTACTCATGTTAGCCATGAGCATAGATGGAGAACAGTTTCCTACTGAATGAGCTACCTGTCAATAGGTTTATATTCTGTTTGGAGACTAGGACCCTCCTTCTTATTAAATATTTGAGTTAAAGCATAGTCCTAGTTGCTTCTCCATCTCTGATAGAGTTAATGGCTCAGTGACATTTTGATGTGCTTTTGCCACAAGTTCTGTTCATAGGCAGATAATAAATTTGTAGAAAACCAGTGTGGGTAGGTTCAGTCAAGTCCTTTCTGGTTTATTTTGCACTAGCAATAAGTAATTGTTTTGTATTTTTAAAAATGTTTATCTCTGTCACCACCTAGAAATACATCATGTAAGAATTTTGTCTTTCTTCTCAGCTGCCATTGAAAAAGAAATGCGAAAACAGTTTGGTATCCCTGATGGAAAGGAAACTAGGTTGTGGAGCAGATACATAAGTAATACTTATGAGCAACTAAGCAAACTTGACAGCACTATACAAGATGCAGGGCTCTATCAGGGACAGGTAAGAAGTCTGCTTACTTTGACAGTTTTCTAAAACTGTATATATTGTGTTATTCACCTGCAGGTTTTTGAATCAGACTGCTGTTTTAAAAAAAAGGTTTATATCCAGATTTAGTCACACAAAGTAGAACCATTGAAATCAATAGACAAGTTAGTCATGTCTTAACTTAAGCAGTGCCCATTTCAATGGATATACTGTATGATTAGTATCAAAACTATTACGTGATACAAAATATGAAACTTGAGCTGGATTGCACAGTATTGGACCAAATGCAGGTGCACTCTAGTCCTCATGCAAATACTGTTACGTTCACAGCCCAGCAACAGAGAGGTGCTTTTGTGAGAATTGACCTGTGGAAGCTGTCCTTGCCCCTGTGATTAGTGGCCTGAAAAAGGCATTCTGTAATCACAAAAGTGCACTTAGTAGCTTGACCTTTGTGAATGTGCTAGTTCCTTAAATTGTAACTTCTTGTTGAGCCAAAGGCCTGTCACTGGCTCTTACGTACCTCTGAGGTGCTTGCTTAGGGGACTGGAGATTGCTTGACCTTGTTCTTGCTTCCAGGCAGCATTTTCTTTGCCTACATTTTTTTGAAAGATTAAAAAGAAAGCATCAGTCCAACAGGCAATACTGCCTTTGCCTAATTTTAGTCTTTTTCCTGTTTCTTGACCTTTCCAGATAGTATTGGTAGAAGTGAAGAATGAAGATGGTTCATGGCCCAGACAATCTTCTCAGACAAAGTAAGTATTTTCCTTTTATACCTCTTCCTTTCTGGGTCTGTTCAGGCATCCCAAACCTGATCTCCAAGCAAGTTTTTTTTAAAGCCTGAATAGGCAGTGTGAGCTAATGTTAGTATATAAACTGGCATATCACTGGCTTGGTTTTCCTCCTTCCTCTGTGCTGTTTTTATGTTGCATTGTGTTTGAAATTGTTAGCCACTTAGAACAGGAAGATTGAAAATTCTGTAGGTCTAGCTGGAGGCAATGTTGAAATTGAAATAGCAACTCAGGAAAAACTAGTACCTGGAGGACACTTTGCAGCTATATATGTCTGTTTGTCTCTTGACAGAGGCATTCTACAGGACAACCAAGGTAGTTTTTTTCCAAAACTGGTTCTAAAGTTGGATTGAACTGAATCTAGAAAATCAACATAATCTGAAGTATCTGGTCTAAATTAGTTTTCTTCACTAGAATCTTAATCAGTACCTCCTTTAAAGAGGTTGGTATCTCCTCCTCTCTGAAAAAGGAATTTACAATCCTAGTCAGCCAGTCTTTTTTTATTAGATGGGCAGGGTCAAACAGACAAGTAGTTGGTTGAACTCATCCAAACACCTTGCCTATGTCCTCCATAGCTGAAACTCATTCAATACAGCTGGACCATTAATAGAAGTACTCTAATAGAGCCCAAGTCATGCTAAATAAGAGCAATGTTATTGTCAATGTGTCCTGTGAATTTTTCACAGCTAGCTATCAAGGGTGTAAGCAAGTCCCTCTTTTTATGATAATGCTAGCACATTTTTACCTTACCTATTCACTTCAAAAACTGTTCAATTTTTTTTAAGAGCAAAGAAACTAAGAATAAAAATTATACTACAAAAGAAGTAAACAGAAGGTGGCAGATGAACACAAATAGCTTCATAAATGAAAGGCTTGCTAGAATAAAAATGTCTTAAAGAGTGCATGAAAAGATGCCAGAGAAGGAACTAGCTAGATCTCGTAGAACAGAGTGTTCCACAGGTCATGTATCTTTGCCAATTCTACCTCTCATATATATTGAGTAACTGCCCTCCTCCCATTGATCTTAAAGATGATTAGTATCATGCTGATGAAGGTGGCAATTTAGATAATCAGAATATTAAATAAAGGCAGGAAATGGATCAAGAGTTAATGCAACTGCAGCAACAAGGGAGTAACATGATTCCCAAGTCTAGCCCTGATCAGAACTTTTAGTACAACAGTCCAGGTGGGCTTTCTGGATGCTTTTCAAAATCAGCCCTCTGTAGAGTACATTATCATTGTCCAGCATGAGGGGCAACAAAACTGCAGGTCATAGTCTTCTCCAGTAATGGGTACAGTTCACCATCCCTACAGCTGCCACCTGAAACATAAAGTAGCTAGCGAAGAAACAAAAGAAAATCGTCCCTCCAAGACAGGTCTGAAGCCCTATTCCATGACTGGCATTTTTACTGACCAGGAGTATCTCTGTCTAATCCACACTGAGTGTCAATTTTTTAGTCCATATTCAGTCTTTCACTAATCTTGGTTATTGGCTCAGAACCTCAAGAGTTTCCCCTAGAATCAAATGGAAAGTAAAGAGCTTAGTGTCATCAAGTGTACTAATTAAACCAAATCTAGAACGCATTCAGGTTCAGCATAATCTGCTTCTCTTCTAATCTGGGTGAATGTCCATAATATTGAGCTGATAAGTGTGTACTCAGATCATGTGAGACTGTTTTATATCTATTGCATAAAAACATTTTTATAACTAAGGAAGGTTCTGACAAATTACAAGACATTATCTTGCTGGGAATAATTTGTGCACTACTCATCTTGAATATTGTTAGTACTTGGATTTTCTTTGAAAAAATGCATCCTCCCCTTTAAATAGGGAGAGTTAAGCAAAAACAATAAACATACCCAGCAGAACTGTGCTTACAAGAAAAAATTATTGAAAAGCATAGATCTTGTCAACACTTAAGAAAGGCTGGAAGCAGTTAAACTGTATTTTCAGGTCTATGCTGGATGTAAGGTGTGCCTATTGTATCATTTATCCCAGCTTTAAGAACAAAAATATAATTCACTAGATCAATTTTAGGCTTAAGAAGGAGCATTTTACAGGATGGTTTAGTTTAAGCTTAGCTTACTATATACAAATCTGGAACTGACAAGCTGCCCTGTACCAGATAGTATCAGTGGTCTGTGTAGTCCTATATTATCTGCCATGACTGACTGCATCAAGGCCAGATTCTCAGGCAGAAGTGTTTCCCAGCAATAATTCAGAGACCTCTTAATCAGAGTTGGGAGTTGAATTTTGGAGAGTCATTTAGTGTGCTCTACCATGTTAGTAAGTGGGTACTGGAGTCCATACTGTCTTTTCATTAAATATTACAGAAGTTCTAGCTGGTACTTGATAGTGGAAAATAAAATCAAAGAAAATTATCTGGTTACGTCATGGTGGCTTATTTTGATCATGCAGATTGGTTTAATGAGTAGAACTAGAAATCTAGTACTTCAACCTTTTTCATATACAATGTATCTTATCAGTTTGACATCTGTCATTCTTGCAGCCCTACTATACAGGAAACCTCTAACAGATAGAACTAATAAACTCTATTAAAAGTCCAGAATTTCATGGCTTCTTGAAAACAAACAAAACTAGTATTATTACTGCTTCTTCTTTCTCCCAGATCAAGCACTGCAACTAGCAGAAATCTAGCTACCTCTTCAAAATCATCAGCAACCTCTTGCTCCTCAGTAGGTGCCTCTTCAGGTATTACAAATGGTGATAGCAATAACTCCTATGGTTTGAACTGCTCCAGCCTTGGCAAAGGGTAAGAGCAAGAATGTGTCTGCTGTACTTTATATAACTTCCTATTAGTGAATATTTTTACGCTTTCTCTCCTTTATTAAATAAGGTCTAGCCCTGAAGGGGGTCACAACTCCACTGTTTGGAAACTATCCTTATAGATCTTGTCTTTTTAGATAGATACATAAATGCTCAGATAATTTTGAATTTTGAACTCAGAGAATTTCTGGCTTCAGTTTTATAGTGCTCCTAGGATTCCTTTGTTGCTTATTAGTCTGTGAAGACATGCCCTTTGTCATATGATAGCTGATGGGACAACACTGCAGCATGATATAGTTATTTAACACCAACATACACAGGAATTGGGTGGGGATAAAGTGGATTCTTTGATGCAGCCCCCCTCTAGTGTGATGTCTATGGTACCCATAGGGACCTCCAACAATGCTCACAAAGCTCTCCATTCTCTGTACCACCCCCCCCCCCCCCAACCACCAGAATAAAAACTTTGGAAAATGTTGTAGTTCACTTTCTCTCCCTTCCTAGGCTTGCTATTTTTCTGTTCTCTACCCCAACCCTTGCTATTTCCCCCTTAATTCCAGTCCCTACTTTCATTATTTCTTTTTCCAGAACATGAACCTCTTTAGCAGCTTTTAACTAGCCAGGCCTCAATGGCAGTCATTGTATAACTAGTGGCATCCTACTTGGGAGCAATTTTGTGATGGTTTCTCAAATTCTCAAATGAGCCCACAGATGCAAAAATGTTGGGGACTCCTGCTCTGATATATTTGTAGGCTGATCTAGTTTATTGATTATTATTGCACTTAGATTGTTGTCTCTTGGGATAAGTGTATATTGACTATAAAATGGCAGTGGTGCACTTAGTTGTAGTTAGAATGAACAATAGCTAAAATATAGTATCTAATAATGAAAAGAGCTTAAAAGCAAAGAGGGTTATAATAAATGCAGAAGGCATTGTGATTATTATATAACCACTGATGCCCAGAAAACAAAATGACTGTCTCTCGTCCAACAGCAGAATCCTTCAGTGAAAAAGATTCTTCATTCCCCTGTGCCTCCCATGTGTTCTAAAGTGTTAGGGGACTTCAGCAAATTAGGGAGGGATGGAATGTTGCAAGAGAAAAACAGAAAGTTCCATTGAATGAAAGGGATTTCCCTTAATTTTCACAAATGTTAGATATGGAGTTAAACCTGCTTCTCAGCTTGTACAAATTTATATTGGAGGTGGAGGGTGCAGGTCTCCACAAGCCATTTTCCCCAACATTATGGGGTTTTTTGGTGCATGTGCACTTTTTAATATGAGAAAAACATTCATATGGAGCATGTTATTCAGCTTAAGCTTGTTTACCAGCTGCTTCAGCTCCTGGAAGAAGAATGACCTAACAGCAATCGATGTGTGCCAGTAACATCCAGATTAAATTATAGTAACGTGCTCTACATGACTGCCTTTGAAAAGTGTCTGGAAAATGCTAGAAATATGTTACCTGAGCATTAATTGGAAAACCTGCTTTGTCCTAAGCTAGCTTTTTGTCTAGTTGTAAATATTTTGATAACTAAAATGTTCACAAAGTCTGGTGTGCTATTTGTTTTTCAGAGGCTCTAGCTACTCTTGCAATTCCTACAACAACAGGGAAAGCACTTTTCACTCACAGCCTGGCCTCTGTGGCCTCAGCAATCTAGGAAATACGTGTTTCATGAACTCTGCATTACAGGTAAAGTGCTGGTAGAGCCTGCTTGAGAGTGGGAGACACTGTACAGGGCTGTATATTTCCTTGTCTTAACTTGTACAAATCAGTAAGGTTCCCATGTGATTTGAAAAGCTGCATAAGTATAACTGCTAGGGGCAGCATTACAGGGAGAAATATGGAAAGCTGTCTTGCAGAGTTGGACATTGGCCCTTCTAGTTCAGTATTGTCTACTGGCAAAAATTCTCCAAGGTTTCATATGGTGCTTTACCAGCCCTCCATGGAAATGTTGTGGATTGAACTTGGGGCCTTCTATACTCACAGCATGTGGTCTGCCAGTGAGCATCTACTGCACTAGATGGGGGGCCTCACTTTTGGGCCTGCAGGTAAGAGCGATTAGGATGGTGGGCATCAGGAGCAGAGCCACACAACAGCTCTCTGTGGACAAAGTGACATCAATGGGTGTGGTCACATTCACTATTATCACCACATCCATTGTTCCTTTCTCTCTGCTGAGAGAAGCACAAAGGTCTGTTCCACTCATTCTGAGCATGGAGAAAAGGACTAAACCAGAAGTTGTGCTTATCACTTATATCTGACCAGAGATAAAACACCTGGGATCCTTCTGTGCCTCCTTATCCTCCAGTTTTGGAGTGTGAAGCCCTGCTGATATCTCCAGTCTGTGAACACAGGTCAAGCTCTACCCCCTGGAGTACTCCAAGGAATTTCACTAGATTGCAGCGGGAACCTGCTCTAAGGTGACCCTAAGGGCATGAATTCTAGAACTTTTGTTTTTAAGCATTAATTAATTTTTAATACATGGATTGTATCTCTGTGTTTGAAGTCTTGAGTCGGCATTGGGATGAAAATTGGCTTTGACATTATTTTCTTATGTAGCTCTTGTCTTTGAATGTCCTTCTAGTGTTTGAGTAACACACCTCCACTGACTGAGTATTTTTTGGAAGATGAGTATGAAGCTGAAATAAATCAGGAAAATCCTCTAGGAATGAGAGGAGAAATTGCAGAAGCATATGCAGAGCTCATCAAACAGATGTGGTCTGGAATGCATTCACATGTGGCCCCCCGCATGTTCAAAGTAAGCTAAAGAAAGTGTCATTTTTGATGTCATCATTACTGTGTAAATCTTTACTGTTAAACCTTAAAGAAAAATATTCCTCAAAGTTTGTCAGAAAGGCTTAAGTTAAATGTGAATGAATTCAAAACCTAAGGAATCCCAACTGCTAGTGAAGCCTTCCTCAACTTGGAAGCTTTGAGACATTTCAGACTACAACTCCCATCAGCTCCATCAGTTTGGGGAAGGTGAATGTGCTAGAACATTAATACTTTGTATTTTGAGATCAATGATATTGGTAGAAACCAAGGAAAGTTGTAACCCCTTGCATGGAATTCTGCAGAACTGAGGCTATAATTGCCTTCACTACACACAGTTTACATGCAACTTTTCTCACTGCATTTTCCCTTTAAATTTTAGACCCAGGTTGGTCGCTTTGCTCCTCAGTTTTCAGGATACCAGCAACAAGATTCTCAGGAGCTCCTGGCCTTTCTTTTAGATGGTTTACATGAAGATCTAAACAGAGTGAAGAAGAAACCCTACCTGGAGTTGAAGGATGCTAATGGCAGGCCTGACTCGGTACATTCTAAATGCAGTCTTTTAAACTGTGGTGTAAAAGAACAGTGGAAGGAGAAAGACCAGTGCTTTTTGCCTGTCCTCTCACTGAGGCTCTGTGCTTTTCCTCTTAGTTATCTAATCCATAACTATTGTCCTTGGCCTTGTGTTTCCACCTAGTTCCTCAATTTATTAAGATTGAACACTTAGTGCTAGTTTAGACGTAATGTTTATATTGTTTAGCATTGGCTGCAGGAGCCATGGTGAACCTTGGGCTTGTACACTTCTCTCTCCTTCTCCATGTTCTTTCATTTCTAAACTAACCACGATTGCTCATTATGTCCTAACTTGAGGGAATTCTGTGTAATTTAAACTCTAGCTAGTTCAAACAACCAGGGATTTAATAGATTTAATAATAACTGCCCAGCTTAATTACATTATTATTATTTATAATAATAACCATAGTTTATGACCAGATAGGCTCACAGAGTCTTCTTCCTGCTATCTTGAAGTATTTTTTCAAATATCTTAATAAAAGAATAAACAAAAGGGTTGGCCTGTATAGAATTAGCTGTTTGATTGTATCTCATGTTTCCACCAAATGGAGAAATAGTAAAATACAAGAAAACAGGAAACATAAGCAAGGCAGGTAATGCATCAATAAAAACAACCAGTTGCAACATATTGACAAGTCAGCTTTTCAGCCAAAGTCCTATCTAAATAGGACAAGGCTGGATAGGCCTTTCTTGTCCAGTGCTAAGAGCTCCAGTGCCTGAGAGCAGCACTGAAAAGGCTCTCTCTAGGCTTCCTGCCAAATATTTTTTAGATATTAGCAGCTTTCCTGCTTTGGCTGGTTTAGGTTTTGTCTCCAGGCAGACTGGGACAAATCTCTAGCAAACTTCAGAAGAACAGCCCAGTAAAAATGGGCAGTCTCTGAGAGACCAGTGCAAGCTAAAGCACAGTTTCAGGGTACTACGTGCTAAAATAAGGTGGTGTTCCAACATGGCAGTAGGCCTCAACTAAACTCTTATAATCTGGAAGTTCCAGAGCCTCACTTAGGACTCAGCTGCAGCACAGCAGAAGCACTTTGTCAGCCATGTATGGCTTTGGGGGCTTTGTTTATTTGGAAGCTGTTCTGGATCAGGTGGTCATACTATATCCTTTGGGCTATGGGGGTGGTATAAAATATAATTATTAAATAAAATCCTCTCTAGTCTTCAAGGCATTGTATTCTCCAATAATGCAAAGGCTTTGCCTGAGGAACTTAGTTCATAATTAACTCAAATGTTTAACATTAAACTGTTTTTCTGTTTCTCTGCAATCTGTTTTTTTTTTTATAGGTGGTAGCCAAAGAAGCTTGGGAGAACCATCGATTACGTAATGACTCTATTATTGTAGATATTTTTCATGGTCTCTTCAAATCCACATTGGTCTGCCCCAAATGTTCTAAGATTTCAGTAACTTTTGACCCCTTTTGCTACTTAACTCTTCCATTGCCCTTGAAGAAAGATCGACCCATGGAAGTGTTCTTGGTCTTTGCAGATCCTCAGCGCAAACCTGTTCAGGTAAGTGGAGATGTTTGGGTCAGTCTGTACTAATAACAAAAATTGAAATATCCCCAAACTTGTGAAATGATCTGCACAATCTTTTCCCTTTAAAATTAATGGAAATATTCATGCAAATTACCAGGATGATTGTTAAAATTCTGCCCCAACCAAGGTTATGGGGTGTAGTCTTTCCCTGCCTGTGGCCACATACTAACTTTAGGGAATACACTAACCAATATCTTGCTACTTTATCTAGTCCTACTTGTCTTTACTGCAGTTAACACCGACTAAGAAATTCATATGCAGTTAGACTCCTACTTATGTTGAAACAGAAGAATAACAATTATATGTTATGACTTCATTTGCTGGTAGTTTGCTAATAGTATTAAAAAGTGGCTAGCTATGGGATTAAGCATTTTATACTTTAAATGAAATAGAAGAAAACAATAGAACAGGGAGGACCAGAGATCTGTTCAAGAAAATTGGAGCTATGAAGGGAACATTTCATGCAGAGATGGGCATGAAAAAAGGACAAAAATGGCAGGGACCTAACAGAGGCAGAAGAGATTAAGAAGTGGTGGCAAGATTACACAGAAGAACTATACAAGAAAATGCTTAACATCCCTGATAACCACGATGGGGTGGTCGCTGACCTCGAGCCAGACATCCTGGAATGTGAAGTCAAATGGGCCTTAGGAAGTCTGAGCAACAACAAAGCTAGTGGAGGCGACAGTATTCCAGCTGAGCTATTCAAAATCTTAAAAGACGATGCAGTGAAAGTGCTACACTCAGTAAGCGAGCAAACTGGGAAAACTCAACAGTGGCCACAGGATTGGAAAAGGTCAGTTTACATTCTGATCCCAAAGAAGGGCAATGCCAAAGAATGTTCACACTACCGCACCATTGCACTCATTTCACATGCTAGCAAAGTGATGCTCAAAATCCTACAAGCTAGGCTCCAGCAGGATGTGGACTGAGAACTATCAGAAGCACAGGCAGGATTTCAAAGAGGGAGAACAACTAGAGATCAAATTGCCAACATACGCTGCATCATGGAGAAAGCTAGGGAGTTCCAGAAAAACATCTACTTCTGCTTCATTGACTATGCTAAAGCCTTTGATTGTGTGGATCACAACAAATTGTGGCAAGTTCTTAAAGAGATGGGAGTACCAGACCATCTTATTTGTCTCTTGAGAAACCTATATGTGGGTCAAGAAGCAACAGTGAGAATTGGACACGGAACCAATCAGTGGTTCCGTGTC